TTCATGGTTTTTTGATAACGTTGACCTTGCTTTAAATTGAAAACTATTTGTTCATTAACTCGATACTCCCTCTTGTCTTCATATTGAAGACATGCAATCATATCTAATCGCCATGACGGCATTAAGCACCAGTCTGTCGGATACAGAAGTTTGACATTTTGCCTTTTGGTGTCAGTTGATGAGCCTCCTCCATTTGCAACTCCCTGCCTCCCTCCAGCCAGCGTGCCAATTTAGACATCATTAAAAACTTTTCAGTTTCTAGTTAAGGAAAGGGAAAAGTTGCTCCTGTTGCCACGTGACTTACAAGAATCTATGTGTCGCCGTGTGTTGTTGTGCTTGTGCTGCTTATTCCTTCAAAGGATTTAACAATGTTTTCAATTTCGGCACAGAAAACTTGTAAAATAAACGACAAACTCTTAAAAGTAAGAGCTAGCTGTCTTTTCAATGTAACATTCATTCATTCATTCAAAGAGTTAAAAATAGCCCCAAAACAGGGGAGCGCCTTCAAGTCAAGAAAACAAAAAGCGATAAAAACGACAACAGAATTCTATTCCAACCAATTCGCCATTTATCTTTTCCCTTTCACTTTCACTTTATTTTCGACTGTGTTATTGTGTTCGTGTTTTGTGTTGTTCTCTCGTCTTGACAGTTGTTTCACTGACTGAATGGGAAACGTGTGGCTTTTTTATTTACTTTTTGCTGATATGCGACAGCAACAAAAAAACAACAAAAATGCCCGAATGGCTGTTGAATGTCGTTTTGTTAGGAATTGTTTTGTTGGTCATTGTTGTAAAATTTCCAAATAGACGAGGATACAAACACATACACATGTGTAGTTGAACATTTGTGTTGAAAGGCAGAGCTGTTGTGTGGGCAAAGAGGAATATTTGATAGGAAAATATCAAATCAGACGCCAAGCCCATTAAATGTAGTATAGGCTGAGATGTTTTATGCCAAATGGTATTAGGACATGGCGAGTATTTTAAGTTTGACAGTTAATTTGAAATTCCCGTAAAAAAGCCCAAAACCATTCAGCTAAATAGATTTAAAATTTGATTGGCGTGTGCAAATCTCATAAACTAGGTTTTCTAAATTAACAAATGTTAAACTGATTTTGCAGTGGGTGCCATAGTTGGCTATTACGATTAACTCAAAGTCGGAAATCGCTAAAAATAAATCAAAAGGGGTCAGGCGCACTCCAGGTAAGTTTATAACAAGTAAAAAAGCAGTAAGTTCCTCCACCATTTGGAACGGATTAGAAAGTTTTCAAAAAAATAAAATCCATTAAAAATTCTTTTAAAATCTTTAAAATATCTAATATAGGAAGGTCCCGATATATGGGGGATATACGATATTGTGGACCTATAATGACAAATGTATGTAGGGGTGTAAAGTACTCACAAGGAACTCCTTATGTGGATTTTCAGATAATTCCATTGGAAAAAGTGGCTAAAATCATCAAAATACCTAATATAGGGGAGTACCGTTATATGGGGGATATACGATATTGTGGACCTATATAGCCAATTCCGTTTCAGGGGGTAAAGTGCTCATAAATAACTCCGTGTGTGGATTTTCAGACAATACGATTGAAAAATGTGGCTAAAATCGTCAAAATACCGAATATCGGGGGGTACCGTTATGTGGGGGCTATACAATATCGTGGACCTATATAGATAATTCTCTGCCGAGGTATAAAGTACCCACAAGGAACTCCTTGTGTACAACGAACCCCTTGTGACCATTCCGTTGAAAAATGTGGCTAAAAACGTCAAAATACGAATATCGGGGGTACCGTTATATGGGGGCTATACGATATCGTGGACCTATATAGATAATTCTCTGCCGAGATATAAAGTACCCACAAGGAACTCCGATGAAAAATGTGGTAAAATCATCAAAATACCGAATATCGGGGGGTACCGTTACATGGGGGATATACGATATCGTGGACCAGTATAGACAATTCTCTCTCAGGGGGTAAAGTACTCACAAGAAAGTACTTGTGTGGATTTTAAGACAATTCCATTGAAACATGTGGCTAACATCATCAAAATACCGAATATCGGGGGTACCGTTATATGGGGGCTATACGATATTGTGGACCTATATAGATAATTCTCTGCCGAGGTATAAAGTACCCACAAGGAACTCCTTTTCAGACAATTCCGTTGAAAAATGTGGGTAAAATCATTAAAATATCGAATATCGGGTGGTACCCTTATATGGGGGCTATACGAATTTGTGGACCTATATAGATATTTCTCTTCCGAGGTATAAAGTACCGACAAGGAACTACTTGTGTGAATTTTCAGACAATTCCGTTGAAAAATGTGGGTAAAATCATTAATATACCGAATATCGGGGTGTATCGTTATATGGGGGATATACGATATCGGGGACCTATATAAACAATTCTTTTTGAGAGGGTAAAATGCTCACAAGGGACTCCTTTTGTGGAATTTCAGACAATTCCATTGAAAAATGTGGCTAAAATCATTAAAATACCGAATATCGGGGGTACCGTTATAATGGGGGGGGCTATACGATATCGTGGACCGATATAGCCCATCTTCTAACTTCACCTACCTGCAAAAGAGAGATCTGTGCAAAATTTTAGCTTCCTATCTTAATTCGTTTAGACTGTAGCGTTATTACAACAGACGGACAGACGGACGGACAGGGGTAAATCGTCTTAGAATTTTACGCTGATCAAGAATATATATAATTTGTTGGGTCTAAAATGATTATTTCGATTAGTTACAAACGGAATGACGAACTTAATATACCCTCCATACTATGTATGGTGGAGGGTATAAAAAAGAAATGCATAAACATCATTTGAAGGGGATAACGTCAATCAAAAAATAATCTGCGTAAAATTTCACAATAAGTAGCCAAAGACTTTATTAATGTTATGTACTCGTATCAAGATCAATATTCTACATAAAATTTCTATCAAATGCATGAAATCGGCCGAAAATATATATGAGAGCTATATACAAATCTGAACCGATTTCTTAATAATTTGGCAAATTTATTTTTGTTTTAAATCCCGTTATGCATTCCAAATTTGGAGACTGTATCTGTAATCAATCAATGGATATGTGCATATAAAATCTACATTTTTGGAAGATACCTCCGATTCTAATGCTGTATCTCTAGTTCTAATTCATATTGCCTATGTTACTTTCAGGCGATGTTGTTTTTACACTCTCCCCCTTAAAAGGAGGGTATATTATATTTGACATTCCGTCTGTAACATCCCTCAATAAAGTACATATATCCATAATTAGCATAAAATTCCAAGTTAATTTAAAATAACGATACAGCCCACATTATTTGACGTAGAGCTTCAAGCATTGGCAAAACAATTTGTATTGTGTCCACGATGGCTGGTATTGAAAACATATATTGATATATCCGTCCACGTTTTGATATAGCCGCCATATAATGGTGCCTCCCGATATTCGGTATTTTGATGGTTTTTCAACATATTTTTTCATCGATTTGTCTAAAAATTGGCATTTCAAGGTCCTTCTGGGTCCGGTTTCGAAACATTGTGTATATAGGTTTACGTTTTATAGCTCTCATATTACCGTACCCCCGATATTCGGTATTTTGATGAGTTTTGCTAAGTTTTTTTCACAGATTTGTCTATGACCTGGGTTCTAGCTCCATGTTTTTGTGTAGCCCCCATAAAAAGGTACTTCCCGATATTCAGTATTTTGGTGATTTTTGCCAAAGTTTTCCACAGATTTGTCTAAAAATTGGTATTTGTAGTTCGCATTGGGTTCTAGCTCCGGTAGTGGATCATAGTTTATATAGGTCCACGTTTTGGTTTAGCCCCCATATCCTCTGATATTCGGTATTTTGACGATTTTCTCCAAATTTTTCCACGGATTTGTCTAAAAATTGGTATTTGGTTATAACTCCGATGGCGGAACATTATATGCATAGGTCTTCGTTTTTGTATAGCCCAATATAACGGTATTTCCTGATATTCGGTATTTTGAAAATCCACGAAATTGTTTCAAATTTAGTACTAAAGAAGAATCCAATCCTTGAAGTATAAAATTGTCTATGGTGGTTCCTGTTTTGGTACGGCCCCTATATAACGGGCTCACCCACTTTAAGATTGTTGAAAAGTTTAACAGCATTAACCAAACGGACTTACTGGTATTTGTAGTTCAAAGTGAAACGCGTTTGAATTCAGATACTTTTATACAAAAATGTTTTCTTTATCCAAAGGAGGAGGGTACTAAAAGTTCGGCCCGGCCGAACTTAATGTTGTTTTACTTGTTTTTAGCTCTACTTTAATAATCTGCTGGATTTTCCCCTAATTATTGAAAGAACGGAAATCTGTCCCACAGTGTTATCAATACGGGTTTCAATCCATCATAAACATAATACATTTGTTTGACAAATGTAATAAATATACTACAGGACAAATTTACAAATGCATAGGTGGATTTGAAATATTGGAACATTCTTTATGGGGTAATAGGCTAAAAAAACCTGTATGTAGCAAACGGAATGACACACTTAATATCTTATTAATATGAGTTACATTTGGAATAATTTCAATTACAATTGGAATAGTTCAAACTACAAATCGAATAATTTGAAATACGAATTGAGTTCTCGATAAATATTTCAAGGTGTTACAAGACAAAAATGATCATAACATCTGCATAGGGAAGTGTAGGACATAACTATCACTGACTAAAAAAATGAGTAAACAGTAATCAAAAGTAAATTTACTGGATCAAGACAAGCCTAATAAGTCTGAAAAATACTAAATTTTAACTTAAATAAAAACTATCTTCAAAATGTATAACATTGCATTGAAAAAAAAAATAAATTGTTTAGAAAATAGTTGCTCTAAAAAGTGTATGGATTTTTCTCAATTTTTATGATTAGAATTAATAATATAATAAATATGACACGCAGGAAAATGCATTCGATATTCCAGAATTAAATGTAAATTTATTACTTACATGCCATACAAAATTGTAGATTAATCAAAACACGCTTGTTGGTCCTGCTCCAATATGGCTCTTCTTGACATAATAAAAAGTAACGCGTGGATGAGAATTATGAAGGTTTCTGGAATCGAAGAAGTTCTTAATTTGAAGTAGACTTATGAGAATTATATTCCCGATGATGACTTACATATAGAAAGTTATTATATATACAAAATTACTTACAGATTTCGGGCAGAATTAATCTCAAACATTGATGGATCGCTGAAATCTAACCGCTTCAGAGATTTTTAATTCATCTACAGATAATTGATACACATAAACCAGCAACAAACGGTGTGGACTCCAAGCTTTATTAAAATTTATGAGTTATCCATCCCAACAGACAACCATCCAAAAAAAAAAAAAAAAAAAAATACGGAATTTTGCTTATTTATAATGATTGAAAATTTTTTTATAAAATATTTTTTGGACTAATTTTGTCTCGACTTTCAAATTTAAACTAAAACCCAAAGCATTCCTTGTTAAAAAATATTTTTCATGAAAGTGGCTATCATATGAAGTAGTGGTAGTCCCACAATTCAGTTAGTCATAATAAAATAAGGAGGTAGAACAGCTTCGTAAAACTACAGAAATACAGCCCTGAGGCTATGTCCGTTTCCTGCCAATTTTGCGTGCAACAAGTTGTTTGAATTTATTCAATACTTTTCCTCATTTTATAAAATAAGCTAAAAAGCACAAAAAACGAATGAAATGTCTGGATTTTCTTTTAAAAATATGACCTAATTAGTTCGATCTTTCAATTCCATGGCAAAACTGGCGAATAGCTTCAATGCGTATCCCGTAATGTACGCCTCTTCCAATCGTTGATTTTGAAAATATTGGGTTTTTATACACTACAACACTACATGTATGTGTTGGGGGTACTATAAGTTTAATTGGGCCAAAAATTATGTAACAGCTCGAAATGTTGGTTTCCCACAAAGGGAAGTATATATGGATCTTCCTATCTCGCCGAGCTGAGTCAATCTAGCTATTCATGTCTGTCAGTCCGTCTGTCCATGTTAATGTCTAATCGCGCTACAGGTCGCAATTATGGCCCGATCCTCACGAAATTTTTCATGGAGGTGGGGTTAGGGTCAGAACAGAACCCTATTGTTTTTGGAGATGATCGCAAAATATTTAAAAATTCTGATTTTGCTTTTGCTTTACAGGCCACAATTATAAACCAAACGACGCGGAATTTAGCATGGGGTTTGAGTGGTGGGCAGAAGCCTACCAATCTAGTCGTCCATCGGACAATATTTAGCGGGTAAAATATACCCTAACTTCATGTAAGAAAATAAGAACATTTCCACTAAACCGCGAATATTTTTAATCCCGGTGAAATCACAAAGACATCAAGAGGTCACTTCTGACCATCACAGTGATGCTGATAGCCAAGATATGGGATATGTAGCAAACTAAAATATATAGAAATATCTCATTTATTCTGCTTATAGGTAAAGGACCGCTGGGCCGACTTTAACATTTATAATTAATTCGGAATGGTCTCTAGCCAGAAAATGATAAATTCTACGAAACTCGCGTAAAAATATGTCAAGAAAAAAAGGGAATATATTTTTTTTTTCAATTTTTGTCATATTTTTTATCGCATGCGATTTTTATACCCTCCACCTTGGAAACGAGGGTATATTAACTTTGTCACTCCGTTGGTAACATCCATAAATATTCGTCGTAGACCCCATAAAGTATATATATTCATAATCAGCATAAAATTCTAAGTCAATTTAACGATGTCTGCCTGTCTGTTGAAATCACGATACAGCCCACATTATTTAACGTAGAACGCCAAAATTTAGGAGAACAATTTGTACTGTGTCTAGGATGGTTGGCATTGAAAACGAGATATACCGGTCCATCCGTTTTGGTATAGTCTCCACATAACGGTACCTGCCGATATTCAGTATTTCGATGATTTATGCCACATTTTTTTCACGGATTTGTCTGAAAATTGGTATTTGTTGGTCATAATGGGATCCAGCTCCGGTGGCAAAACATTGCATGTATGGGTCCACGATTTGGTATAGCCCCCATATAACGGTACCTCCCGATATTCGGTATTTTGATGATTTATGCCACATTTTTTTACAGATTTGTCTGAAAATTGGTATTTGTAGGTCATAATGGGTCCTAGTTCGTTTGGCGAAACATTGTATGTAGGTCCACACTCTATTTAGGCCCCCATATAACGGTACCTCCCGGTATTCGGTATTTTGATGATTTTTGCTAATTTTTTTCACGGATTTGTCTGAAAATTGGTATTTGTTGGTCATAATGTGTTCTAGCTCCTTTGGCGAAACATTGCATGTATAGGTCCACCATAAAGCCGTATTTCCCGATATTCTGATATTAAAAGTTTGGCCCGGCCGAACTTAGTGTTTTTTTACTTGTTTCACTTTGACTTGCAATTTTGAATTGAGCATTTTGTAAAGTTTTTCTACACCCCGCAACACTGTATTTTTAGGATATTGTGTACAAGTTGCAGTTATCGTCCGATCCTCAAGAAATTTTGCATGGGGGTAGGGTAAGGATTAGAATTAAAGCCTATTGTTTTTGAAGATGTACATTTAGGGGTTCAAATTGACTGAGTTTGTCAATGTCCCTGTCAAAAGGCTAAGGGTATCATCTGGGCAGGGCTCAATAACATAATTTCAAAAAAAAAAAAGATCTTCCAAATAGATTTGGATATGAGGGGACTTCCAACATATTGTAGTGTTGTAGGGTATCACATGGTCGACTATAGCTTTTGCTTACTTGTTATTTTTTAAAACAATAAATACATACACAAAATTGGTAGAAATCGGGAACGTTTAGAAAAACATTTTTAATAAGCTGGTGGCTCTACCTTACCTTTTTATTCTACCATATATTCTAGAAATAATATTTGAAAAGTATCAGGAGAGCCTCTAGACAAACAATCAATTTAAACAATTTTGAACAATTCTTAATGTTTTTTGGTTACCGAAAGTTTGGCTGTTTTATTGACCAATTAGAAGTCGATGGTTATCTCTCTCGGTTCAGATTTACTTCGAATTCATGTTGATTACTCAGATCAGCGTTGATAACGTAGTGCCTGCCTTAATCGGTTAGATGGTCGAATTCTGCCTAAAACTTAGTCCAAACTGAAATTTCACACAGGGAATGATTCTTAAATTTCTAGTCACTTCATTAAAAACACGTTCCCCCTTATTAAAGATTCCCAGCTGCTGATATCTCAGTTTTTGTATGATATAAATACCTTCCTTCCAAATTGAGCATTCAAACGCCCCCTTACAAATGCGGTATTTTTGTTTGGTTATGGCAAAGGATTGTCTGCTCAAAAGGTATTCCCACAGTGACGATTTCTGTTCTGTGTTATTTTCTTTTTGTGTTTTTTTCTGTTGTTGTTTTCTATTATAGCCAAGTGAGAACGTATGGTTGAACGAAAAACGACAGATTCGTATGAAAATTCATGAAGCTGACAATGACAGCCACCATAAAATAAAGTAACCGCAGAAATGTGTCCATCAAAATAGTAAAACGAAAAAATAGGAAGAATGTGAACAAAAAAAAAACAAAAGAGAAGAAAAAAGGAAACGACAAAAAATCCCAAGAATAAAATGGATATTGAATGGATGCTTACCTTTACATTGTACTACTGCTGGCGCTGCTTTCACTGCCGCCACAAAATGGGGGCTTAAAGTTAGTTGGGGTTTTATTAAGGTAGACGGTAATAAAAATTCTCCCCTCGAAATATAAAAAGCCCAAAATTTACGAAAGTCTTTAAGTAGTAATTTTAATGAAAGGAATTTACTGGATGCTTTTATGTTAAAAGTGTATGAATAAAAATAGCAAAAACAGTATTCCAGAAGTTAGATTAAAATGAATAAAAATAGATATAGTAATGATAACCAACCACCATTCCAGCACTTTGGGACGTTAATTAGTCTTAAGTAAGTAAAGAGCAATTGGGGATCAGAAACTAGAATAATTATTTGGAATAAATATAAATAATGAAACAAATGCATTTTTCTGGAAAAATTTAATGGATGTGGGTTTGTCAACAATTTCTCTACTCAAATTAAATGCATACATGGAGAGATAAAAAACTGCAACAAAGTCAAACGCCATAATTTTTACATTTTTTTGAAGGCAAAAAATGTTGGAAATAGCATCAAATTTCAGGATAAGTTTAGATCTGTTCGAATTGGTCACCTTTGGTACGAATTATGGCCTTCAAACGGCCAATGAAATTGTCATACGCTGCCTGAATTATGCTCTGCGGCATTTTGACCCATTCCCGGCAAAGCGCTTGCTTGAGGCGATGGACACTTTGGAATTTTTTAGTTCCAACCTTGCTTTCCAAAACACTCCAGACACAATAGTCCAACGGATTGGTATCGGGAGATTTTGGTGGTCATTCTGCGCTAGAAATGAAGCGAGGAACATCATTTTGTAACCATTCTTGGGTGGCGCGTGCCTAGTGCGATGGTGCTGAGTCCTGCTGGAATGTCCAAGGTCTGCTGCCAAAAGTTTGCGTACCCAATGCTTTAATATACCCTCCAGAATATTTTAGCCATAATATTCGGCATTTATTCTGATGCCACGGTCGATTGATGCGAGCGGACAGCGACCATCGGCTGTTATGGCGGTCCACACCATCACCATGGCCGGCGCTTGAGTTCTGGTGGCCAACAAAAGCTGCACATTTTCAGCTGACCTCTTTGACAATAAACACGATCATTTTGTTTGCTTACAAACTGCTGGACAACGAATGTTTTCTCATCGGAGAAAACCAAATTCGGCAGTTCACCACTTTCGGCCAAGTGAAGCAACTCTTTAGCTCTTTTGAGTATTTTTTTCCTGTTGCGCTGTAAGCTCTTGCACTTTTTGGAATTTCAATGGCCTTACCCAAAGCTCATTTTCTAATTTTACCGAATAGAATATTGCGCTGTGTTCAGCTCACGAGCCATTTCCGGCCACTGCTACGCGGGTTTCGATCAAATCGCTTCTTTGCTTTTCGAACCATTTCTGCTGATGTTTTCTTCCGTCCACTTCTTTGACGTTGGACTACGCTACCAGTATCACGGTAACAAGCGATGGTACGGGGCACAAAAGACTTATTCACATTTAAATGCTGGAGTGCTCTAACGATAGCCACTTGTGGTCTTCCAGTCAAATATAAAGAAATTACACTATCAGGCTTGATTTCCATCGCGCATAACTTTTTTTTCTGGAAAAATCTTACCAAAATGATTTTGTACGCTCGTAAACAATATAATGATCTCTCACTGGAATAATTTTAACAGCTGTCGGATGAGTGGCTTAGAAATGACAGCAGTCTGAAGTTGATTGCAGTTTTTTCACAGCTCAGCACCATCATACTCAGCACGCATCATCAAAAATAAGAATTATGGCGTTTGACTTTGTTGCAGTTTTTTATCTCATCCTGTATATATCTTTACTCCATTGAATTGAATGAACGAGAACAAGAACGAATCTAGCCTGGAAGAAAGTGTATCAAAAATCTCAGATATTCCCCATAAAACCGTTTTTTATTATATGTAGCTCTACTGTACGTGCAAAGTTGTGCAGGGTATCATAAAGTCAGCCCAGTTCGACTTTAGCCTTTCTTTACTGGTTTTGCTGCTTATCCACTTGTTTAATTATGTTATAAATATCTTCACCAATATTAGTAGATTCCATTTTAGAGTGCCTTTTTCAAAATTAGATTAAAATATGTGTGGACATTTCCATGCCGATGATTTATGTCGAAAAAAGACAAATTTTTAACTCTGGTGTCAGAATGTTACTATAAAACATATTTTATTTTAATATGCGCATATTTGGTCCTGTGTTTGCTTTATTAGAGACCTTCTCTGAAACAATTATAAGTATCTGTTGCAAGTTATTGCATTTTTGCCTTTATCAAACAAAAAAAGCAAACGCAACAATACTTTATTAGAAATTCCTATTTTGCTTTTTTAATTGTTTGTTTGACGGCAAACAAAAAAAAAACAACATGAATGTTAACTGAAAGTGAATTGTTTTTCCATTTTCCCCTCTCTTTTCCAGCTCACAATGGATGACAACAATATTAAACGTTTTCGTTTTTCTGCAAAAAGGATTTCTTTTGAAACGTGGTAAACTGATATTAAAAACCTAAATGTGGACAACAAAGTACAATGAATCAATAAAATATAAAAAATATGCAATGTGAAAACGATTATGAAGTGCTTTCGAAACGCTTTAGTTAAAAGTAAACATTTATTGAACTTGAATGCAAATAGAAACTGTAAATTGATGCATTAATTGGTTGCGTTTAACGTTTTTTGTTTTTCTCAATAACTTTCTACGTTTGTCAACACAAAAGTGTTTGCAAAAAAACAGGTTAAAGTAAATCCTATTTAAAATTGGTTTTTTTTGTGACTGTTAATGGGGATTGGGTAAGTAAAACAATGTATATTTTTTAATACTCTTTTGCCAGAAATTAATTGAAACAATAATTAACGTTTTTTTAATTAAGGCCCAACAATGACACATATCATATTGTCACACTTGCAGTGTTGAAAAACATAAAACTGTGGCATAAATTCGACTTAGCAAAAATTGTAGTAAATTAAACTCGTTTGTTTATTTTGACCGCAAATGTTATAAGACCTTCGAAGTTTTCCTACAAGTGCATATTTTTTGGGGGTTTTTGGCATTACCAACAATTTTGTCAATGAATATTTATTTCTATTTTCCGACTTTGGAACTGGGGTGCGAATGATGTACGCAAACACTATCTGGGGTTTCATTGATTATGCGCAACCCGGTTCTAATATAAAAACCAGTAACAAAGCAACTAATTTCGGTCGGGCCACACTTTTTATACCCCACACCATTTGGAAGAAACATGAAAAATTTAAAAAGAAATCCGTCGGAAAATACCGCTCAAATGAAGACCGTTACATGAGGGATATGCTAAGACGAGGCCCTGCATAAGTAATTTGTGTCATAGGCTGTACTAACTCTTCCGAACTTAATATGCGACATTTGAAACAATTCCGGTGAATAACATCGCAAAAATCATCAAAATACCGAATATAAGGAGTTAACCTTATATCGGGTATATACCATATCGTGGGCCTATATAGACATTTTTCTTTCAAGGGGTAATAAACTCACAAGGAACTTCTTGTGAGAATTTTCAGACAATTTCATTGGAAAATATAGCTAAAATCATCAAAATACCGAATATCGGGGGTACCGTTATATGGTGGCCATACGATATCGTGGACCTATACACAAAATGTTTCGCTACCGGAGCTAGAACCATTGTGACCTCTAAATACTAATTATACCCTACACCACATAACCTTCATAGAATCACTTTCTGAGTCGATTTATGCATGTCAGTCCGTCTGTCCGTCCGTCCGTCTGTCCATGTATTCTTGTGAACAAAATGCAGGTCGCATTTATTATCCGCTTGAGATGAAATTTTCCAAACAATATTTTTTTGGCCCAAGGACGAACCCTATTGAAATTGGTGAGAATCGGATCAAATTTAGATATAGCTCCCATATATATCTTCATCCGATTTCGGGTTAAATGTGCACCAAATGTCCACTATCAGTCCAAATTACCTGAATTTTGGCACACCCAACCGAGTTCGGCCTAGAAGCAAGTATATCAAATATGGAGAAAATCGGTTCAGATATAGCTATAGCTCCCATATATATCTTTCATCCGATTTGATCTTTAAGTTCCTCACATTCCTACTATGCACTCCACAGGTATTAGATGGAGCACAGAAATAGCTGTTTTAAATTTTATCGAAATCGGTTCATATTTGGATATAGCTCACATATATATCTTCATCCGATTTCGGGTTAATTGACCACCAAATGGCCAATATCAGCCCAAATGACCCGAATTTTGGCACATGTGACCGAGATTAGCCTTAAAGCAAATACAACAAATTTGGAGAAAATCGGTTCAGAAACAGCTATAGCTCCCATATATATGTTTTATCCGATTTGGTGTTTAAGCCTCTCACATTCGTAATATGCACTCCACAAGAATGATATTTGGTACCAGATATAAGATACAGCCCAGAAATAGCTGTTTGTAATTTTATCGAAATCGGTTCAGATTTGGATATAGCTCCCATATATATCTTCATCCGATTTCGGGTTAATTGTGCGCCAAATGGCCGATATAAGTCCAAATGGACTGAATTTTAGTACATCGGACCAAATTCAACTTAGAAGCAAGTATATCAAATTTAGTGAAAATCGGTTCAGATATAGATATAGCAACCATATATATGTTTCATCCGATTTAGTTTTGTAGTCCCTTACATTCGTAATATTCACTCCACAACCGTGATATTTGGTACCAGGTATTAGATGGAGCACAGGAATAGCTGTTTTAATTTTTATCGAAATCGGTTCAGATTTGGATATGGCTACCATATATATCTTCACCCGATTTCGGGTGATTGACCACCAAATGGCCGTAATAGCATCAATTTTGGTAAATCCGACCGAAACCAGCCTAGAAGCAAATACACCAATTTTACTAAAAATCGGTTCAGATATAGCTATAGCTCCCATATATATCTTTCATCCGATTTGGACTTTAAGTCCCTCACATTCGTAATATGCACTCCACAGGAATGATATTTGGTACCAGATATCAGATAAAGCCCAAAAATAGTTGATTTTATTAAAATCTGTTCCGATTTGGATATGCCTCCCATATATATCTTCATCCGATTTCGTGTTAATTGTGCATCAAATGGCCAATATCAGCCCAAATCACCTGAATTTTCGTACATAAGACCGAATTCAGTCTAGAAGCTAATACGCCAAATTTGGAGAAACCCGGTTCAGAGATAGCTATAGTTTGTAAAATGCACGATAGAATTAGATAGATTTTGATTTTGTACCAATATCTCATAGAGCTCTGAAATGTCCTGTATCAACCTTTTTACGAGAGCTCTACTAAATGTGCATAGTGGTGTAGGGTATCATATAGTCGGCCCCGCCCGACTTTTGAGCTTTCCTTACTGGTTTTTAGACAAATCTGTAAAAAAATATGACAAAAATCATAAAAATATCGAATATCGGGAGGCACCGTTATATGGCTGCTATACCAAAACGTGGGCCTATACATACAATGTTTCACCACCTGAACTAGAACACATCATGGCCAACAAATTCCAATTTTTAGACAAATCCATGAAGAAATGTTACAAAAATTATCAACATACCGAATATCGAGAGGTATCCTTGTATGGGGGATATACGAAAACGTGGACCTATACACACAGTGTTTCACCATACGAGCTAGAACCCATTATACCCTACAAATACCAAATCTATGACAAGTATGACAAAAATCATCGAAATACCGAATATCGGTAGGTTCCGTTATATGGGGGCCGATATATCTCATTTTCAATACCAACCACCCTAGATAAAATACAAATTGTTCTGCTAAATTTGGACGCTCTAAGTCAAATAATGTCATTATTTTTATTATTATCCAAATGAAATTTTGCACAAATCATTTGTTGGGCCCAAGGACGAACCCTATTGAAATTGGAGATAATCGGTAAAAATTTAGATATAGCTCCCATATATGTCTTCGTCCGATTTGCCTTTTATTGTGCACCAAACGTTTAATATCAGCCCGAAATCTGAACCGATCTCGATAAAATTTAGCTAATGTATTTCTGAGCTGTATTTGATATATTTCCCCTAATATTGTTGTTACAGGTTGCATATTACGGCTGCGGAGGACAAAAATAACAAATCGGATGAACAATATATATGGGAGCTATAGCTATATCTGAACCGATTTTGATCAAATTTGGCATACTTATTTTCAGGCCTAATTTGGTTGTATGTGCAAAATTCCATACTATTCGGGCTGATATTACACGTTTGGTGCACAATAAAAGGCAAATCGGACGAAGATATATATGGGAGCTATATCTAAATTTTGACCGATTATCTCCAATTTCAATAGGGTTCGTCCTTGGGCCAAACAAATGATTTGTGCAAAATTTCATCTGGATAGGGCAATAAATGCGAACTGTACTTTGTTTACAGAAATACATGGACAGACGGACGGACGGACGGACATGCATAAATCGACTCAGAATGTGATTCTATGCAGATCATCAAAAGGAACTATGGGTCTATCTAGTTTCCTTTTGCCTGTTACAAACAAATGCACAAAGACATAATACCCTGACCAGCTTGTGGTGTAGGGTATAATTACATAACTATTACTAAAAATTGGCATTCACCACAGTCATGGTGCGATATTTTAAATATATATTTTACTTAATACAAACACCGACTTCGTCAAAATAAACGAAAAAAAAAATCAGAAATTTGAGTTGCAATCTTCGAATGAGGTGCTAAATTGTGTTGGTTTTTCTTCTTAAATATTATTGTTGACTGCAAAATAAATGAGTCTTGGGTTGGGTGGGCAAAGGGGAAAAATAAGAATGTCACCCATCCATGAGCTGGCTGTCATTCATCGGTTGTTTGCAGCAGTGTGTGTGTGTGTGTGATATTTATAATAAAGAGATGGCGCCAGCCGAAGACCAAAAGCAAATGTAGGAGAAAAAAATATGGAAACAGTTTTTTAAAGTTAAAAAATACGCACAAGTCCCATCAACGACAGCGGACCCTGCTGTGACATTGGAGCCCAGCACTTTCGGCAAGCGAACATTGCTGGTTCTGCCATTGCTATCAAATTGACACGCTATGTAGTTCGTTGTCGTGGTGTTGATGATGAAATGTCGTTGTCATTACATCCGAGACTGGTGGAAGCAACATCGAGCAACATGGCTGGCTCGATGTCAATCGCATTTACGCATCAGTCGTGACCAGATAGAGACAGTGGTCACACTCAGATATTGGAAATGTCGTTGTGATTGGATCCGTTGTAATTGGCTTTTTGCTTGCAATTTGGAAATTGCTTCACTCCATAGATGCCCAGTAGTGGCTGATTTCAGCAATTTCAACTCACACGTATTCTTACGCTCTTTTGTTTGATCGCCAATCAACCAATAGGAAAGCAGAAATATGAGTGGGAGAGACAAGCTACACAGGCAGAAGTTCTGTGTAATATTAACATTTAATCGTAATCGAGACTGCTGTTAGTGAACACATAAACTGAAAATTATTGCGATATGTCAATGATGTCATTTGAAAAGTATTTTATGATACAAAATGCTTTTGATGATATGCAATGTTTTATATGTTATAAGACATTAAAAAAAATAAGAAATATAATTTAAAAAAACATTTTGAAACTACTTAAATAAATGCATTTATCAAGAGTATTACTAAAACATGTATATTCATTAATTTTACATTTCATAGAAAAAGAAAAAAAAATGACGACACCCGCCACACATATGCTTTCGTCGCTATCCCGT